AAATTTTCCAGTCCCCACATCTGCGAAAAATACATTTGGCCATCAGGTGGTGTGGGGGTTAATGCACGGGACTCCCGCATGGCCAACCATGGTTTGAGTCCCGAATATGGTGACTTGTTTTCTCACTTACTCTCTCTTTCTCTCTCTGGTAAGTGCACGGTGTCCTGTAGTAAATTAAAAAATAATAATAATAAGTAAAACACATAATTCTTTAAAAAAATTCATTTGTTATTTATAAGCTACCTATTTCATGGTAGTTCATTACAGCTTCCTGGATGGAGCTGGTGCATCCATACATTAAAATGTAAGTGAACATTAAGATATAAAAGTATAGAATGAGGTATTGGACATGTGAAAATGATTACATTTACTAAAAACCTTTAATTATTTAGATGTCCAACTATGTAATTACCTAAGCCTTTAATTTAAAAAGGATCTGTCTAGAGCAAATTGCAGTTGTCAAACCACTTTAATAGATTTCATCAAGTCAAACTATGACATAGTATTTTGCAGAATGTGATAATTACCAGTATTCAAGGGGCCATGTGAAAAAAAGGATTTTCTTTTATTTATTTATTTATTTATTTATTTTGCTGATGTCTTTATTTCTGTGCTAGGAGAGGACTCTTTGTAAAGCAAAACATGAGCATTTTTTAATAGTCAGAACTTCTAAACCATCATAAGTACATAGTGTCTGGGGTTGGTGGAGAAAGAGCTGGTTTTCTTACCAACAAGAAGGACTAAAAACCCCACCATGCCTCACAAAAGACAAAGGGGATTCCTAAAAGGTAAGATGTGTGAGTCATCTAAAATGATCATCTCTCTACAGGTAGAGAAGACAGAGACAGAGAGAGAGAGAAGGAGAGAGAGAGGGAGGGAGATGGAGTACTTAAATTGTTGAAAGAAAATGGGATTAGAGAAAAGTTGAACAATTAGTATGGCAAAGTTTACCGGTTTTAATATTTACCCCCTTGAGTTAAAAATAATGGTACTTTAGGAAACAGAAGAGACAGAAGGAGCAACAGGGAGGCCCAAGCCACTTGCTTGAACTCATCAGGGACCCCTACCCAGCCTACTGCTGGGGAGGAGGGGTTGCTCTGGCCCTAAAGAATCAACACCTGGTTCCTGTTTAAAATTGTTCCTTTCAGGAAGCAGAGACTAAATTTCATATTAATATAGGTAGAATGAAAAGTGACAGAGATGGGGCTAGGAGGTGGCATGGTGGTTAAGATGCTGGGCTCCTACTTGGCTGACTGCAGTTTGAATCCCAGACCTAGCAACTTGCTTTCTTAGTTGCTCTCTCTTTGAACTCTCTCCGGTGAGCACACATACCCTCCAGCAAATTTTTTAAAAATAGTAACAAATATGGAACCAGCAGTTAGCATAATGGCTATGTCACTGGACTCTCAAGTAGTAAACCGCGGTTCGAGTCCTGGACCCAGTGTCTTAAACTCACGCCAGATGCGTGTGCTTGTGTACCCAATATCACGGGACGAGAATGGAGGAGAAAGGATTGCAGCATGACCATCCCCCTTGGGGGGGGTGATTTCTCGCTTTCTGTCTGTCTCTCTCTGTCTCTCTGGTGAGCGCATGTGCCCTGTAGCAAAAAAAACTCTCTCTCAAAATAAAAAAGGAATAAATACAATTAAATAAACAATTCGAAAAAAATATTACAAGATATGACAGAGATAAGAAAGTGGTAAATCAAAATGATTCTGATGAAAAAAGAAAAATACATGTCCTATCAGTCAGCTTCATTTGAACACAATCGTTCATTAGTTGCATTATTCAGTTGCCAAAACAGCAATGTTTTAGATTCAGCA